CCCTGAACATTCAGATTAATTAATAAATTCATTCATGAGGGGAAATTACAGTGAGAACATGCGGAGGCTCTGTTAGATGGATAACATAGTGAGTTCAGTGCATTGATGTGACATTGTCCTGAAGGATTTAGTTATTCTCTATGGTTAAAGAAATTGAACAAATTAATTCATATTTATTATAAATAATCCTAATTATACATCTTGCTTCCTTGTTTGTGTCCTGTGTCACTAAAATACATTATTTTTTGGTTTTATACATTGATTAATGACCTGCAGAGTCTCCTTATCATATTAGGGGTCCCTAATTGTCACTTAAAGTCAAACTTTATGCTTTCTCCATCTTGACAGTGATTACATCCTTGCATTACATACTTTAGCTTCATTTTTTGCTGGCAGGTTTAAAAAACAAAAAACAAAACAAAACAAAAAAAAACAGGCAGATTTAGAATATAACCGGTGATACTATAGATGATAAACTATAGATGGATACATAAAAAGAAAAAAATTGCATGTATGTGCTTACTTTTTACATTTATGATAAATGGATTTGAAAGTAGATAAAACACATGTCGGCCTTGCTTCATTAAAGTTCTTGTCTTTAAATGAACTTTGTCTGTGTGTGTTTCAGGTCCTGCACTCTCAAAGACTCAATGAACCAGCATTGCAGCCATTGGTCATTGTGAGCATAACAGGGAAGGTTGAAGCCGACCACTGCACCTGTCACGGCCGGAGTCGCGGAGACCTGCAGCCATGTCACTGCTCTTCCGTTTAAAGTAGAAGTAACAGTGGTGATCCGTGGCACAAGGACTGTTACAGACGAACCTGCATACTGGGTTTTGCAGGGCAATATGACCAAGATACAGCCAGAGGTTGGCCATAAGATAGACTTCTACTCTCTAGCTGCCCAAAAAAAAGGCTCTCGATCAAAACATAAACAGACCATTCGTTGTGACAGGTAAAAGAAGCTGTCGTCAAAAAAAGAAATTCCACCTGCTACTATGGAGGAGTTGTCTCATCTGATGGGAAAATATTTCTCCAAGCACCGTGTTCTGAGTAACCCATGTTTTATTTAGGGGGTCTAGATTCATGCCTGAAGTGCATTGCCAAGTAAATAATTTGCATTTACTGAAAATGCACTAACTAAGTAAC